CCTTACATAGTACCTGAGAAAAAGTGATACCTGAGGTCCGTTCCTTTAATGAACATCTATGACTCTTGTGATTTGTGTGGGAATTCCCTGACATCAGCACTCCTGTCTCAGAAAAGGCTGGCGTGATCTCCTTTTACTCTTAACCACTTAGGAGTAGAGAAAGGAGGTTACGTTATAATGAAAAGTGCACTCCACCACATATGTGCACTGCCAGCTGGTACACAGATACAGATGGGTTCCTAGAACACTCAGCGAGTGAGGGAAGCCTGTACTACAAAGGGCCACCCTCCAGAATATAATTCCATTTTGTGGGGGGTCCCCCTCATATATTAAGATCAATACCCATAGACTATGAATATATATCATCATAACCTTTATCAAGATTTGCAAACTTTTCTCCATCCCAAGAAGAAAGTGTACATATGTTCCCTAAAGAAATAAACTTTAGGGAAACACAACAGATACAATTCTGAGAGGCAGAATCGAACGTGCCCAAATCGGGATAACCCTGAAATGAGAGCCTGGGATTGTTGACTCTCCTTTCTCTCAGCCTGCAGGGTAATTAAGGGAAAACCCTTTTGCCATTTTCCATTGTTTTTGCTGCTTTATAGCCTTTCCTGTCCACTCTCAGCTCTCCTAGATACATGTGACCTGGCCACAGTCACAGGAAAGCCCCCAGCCCTTCAGCTGCTTCCGAATGACTTCATTGGGGTGGATTTCCATCAGGGAAAGGGCTTGATAAAAACAGGTACTTGAGAGTAGGGGGATTTTCAACCTCACTTTCCTCGTTTTCTAAGGCAAACGCACGTCGCACTGTGTCCGTCTGCAGGCTGTTAAATAGCCATCCTGTGTGCGGGGGCGGCTGCTACCCTTGGTCTTCCCAGGAACGGGGAAGACACTTCCTTCTTAGAAATAAGACTGAGCTAATGAGCTGGGTGTCATCACGAACAAGGAGTAAGTAGGAAAGGCCTTCCCTTCTACAAAAACAGAAGATGGAGGCTTGCAAAAAAGCCACGTGAGCTGGGCCCTGAGGACCGCCTGAAGGGCGCCAGTGGGCCCGGTTCTGAGGAATGAGTGTCCTTCAAAAGCCTTCCACGGAGTGATGGTTTTCCAGGGCCGGGAGGATCACGGGGAGCCTGGGAGAGCGACGGGGCTCGGAGACCACCCCTATCTGCATGCAGTTCAGGGAAGGAGGGCACCGTTTAAAGACAAATATTTTAGCTCCACTGGGAGCTTCGGCCTTTTCAGTGCAGAGACCCAAGAGACTACCTGTCAAAGCAGAGGTCTCCTGCTAAAACTATGTTGCTTTGAAAGTGTGGGGAGTCAGGAGGGGCTGGAGGTGGAGGAAGTGGAGACAGAGAGAGAGTCAGCTGAGCCGGGGCAACATGCAGAAAGGAGGAAGGGGCATTAAGGTACATGGGAAAGAATAAGGGACTAGCTGGGTGGTTGTGTGTCTCTGAGTGCATCTCCCCCTGGACAGCACGCTGCAGCAATGAGTGTTTTCTAAAAATTCATTAATTCAGTTTACAAATAAGAAAGTGGGTTTCTTTGCCTTTCCCCTGATTATACCTTGTGTGTTCCCTATTCTACCTGATTTTTCTCTGTAGTGATTCCCACTGAGAGACTGACTTGGAGGAGCAGAGCTGAGAATCTGTAGGGTAGTCTGCTATTTCTTTGCTCTCTTTCCTTTTTAAAAATTGTGTCAAAGCCCCTTTCCTTCAGTAATCCTGATATTCCCTCAGGAGCTGAGTGAAGATTTAATTGTGAAATTTGCATAGTAACTCAGCAAATAAATTCTCCCATCTCTCATGGACCTTTCCACTGCAGAAGGCCATTTTCGTTATAAATCACTTTTTTCAAGATCTCAACTGCATCAGCATTTTGTACCCTAAGGAAAGTGATAAGGAGAAAAATTCCAGTGGCGTGCAGAGTTGGCGCCTGGCTCTTCTGCCTCAGTGTAGGGCAGGGCGGAGGCAGAGGCTGCATGGGATCTGACTGACAAGTGCTGTCTCATCTCCTGCTGCTTCTCCAGGGAAAACCAGGCTGGTGACGGCCTGGCGCTCTGACCACTCCCGGGGAACTAGACACACCGCTTTGCCTCTCAGCACACGCCACACCAGGGCACCCAAGGAGGCAGGCGGTTCCCGCGGAAATCCCTGAAAATGAGATGCTCATAGTAACACTGGTGGGCACGGAATCTGACAAGACACCATCCCAGGAGAGCCGGGTTCCCATGGAAATATTTTACCAGGTCCCAGAAGAAGATGTGTCCGCAGGCTAGTCCACATCCAGCTAAAGGGCTTAGGCTCCACATGGGACTCAACGTAGAAAGGTTTGTTTTGTTCTATTTGGTTTTCGTTCCTCTTCCCTTAGTCTGAAAACACTGTCCATCCTATTCCACGCCAGATTGTTGTTTGGGGAAACCCAATAAAACCAGTTTCACCAGAGCCCAGAACACTAGACTTCGTAACATCTTTCCATGTTTTGTCTTAGCATCACAACTAGTGTTTCTTTTCTAGTCTGGGGCCAACATGACTTTGATTTGGATTATAAACGGCAGTCACAGCCGGTCACTTGATTCTGATGGCAGAAGGAATAAGGAAATATTATAGCAGGAAACCAAGGAGGAATATAACAAAGTTTAAGGAAGTGGGGAAGAAGTATATTTGGTTCTTCACCCTGGATTTCCAATAACTCTGCCTGGAAATACAAAATGTAAGTGGTGCTGAACAGAGGGCCCTGACTGACCCACACAGCATCATTTGGTTCCTTGAAGGTTCCCAGGAAGGAAACCGTAGCAACCCCTTGAAACAACCAGCTCATCTGGATAAGCAGGGGTTAAACTAATGAATTAAGGTTTGATGTTCTGATTTAAAGAATATTGCCACTCTTTAAGAAAAAGAAAAGTACAAAGAACAAGGAAGGAATGTTACGCAGGTAACTTGCATTCACCTAAAAATTTGAAGATCGCTGATCAAACGCGAGCCCTGTAGTCATTTCTTTCAAACAACTGATTTTAGTTCCTTATTTATTCTGTAACTGATCAAAACATGGTGCCCTAATTTTCAAGTTATGCTTGTCAGCCCCAGGAGATCAGTGAAAATGTGGATTCCATAGATGAATCAACAAGTCAGCATAATTGTACCAGATGCATATCTCTCCATGGATAAACGCCAAGTGGTCCATCAATGGGAGAGTTTCCTTTTCTTCTCCTTTCCTAGATCTCCAATTTAGTCAACATAAGTTTCTAGAACTTAATTGAAGCTGCTTTTTTCTACTGACTCTGTGACTAAATTAATAATAATTTTTCCCAAGAAAATGTTATCACAGAGATCATAATGAATACAATACAGATATTAGCTAGATAAGCAATACTTATTTGAAATCAATGCAAGCTTATAAGTGAAACATTAGTAATGCTATAGCTAAATCAGGAATAAGAAAAGGTGTTCATTCTACCTAATTAGTCATTATTGCTTTGGAAATACTGACTAAGGAAATGTTACAGGAAAAAAAAGAGAAAAAAGAAAGAAAGCCACCAAATGTGTGTAAGCATTAATAATAGATGTTATTTTTAACTTATATGACTATGCCTAGAAATCCAAAATAATTCATCAAAGATTGATAAGAAACAGTAAGATAATGAGAAAATATGCTTTTAAACCAAGCACTTCACTCATCTTCACAATGAAATTAAAAATACCAGAAAAATAAGAAGAAATGGAAGTAGGCTAGAACACAGGGAGAGCTTCCTTGCAAAACACTGCACAGTCTCACCATTCCAAACCCAGCATCAGAAGTTGGGAACTGAACCATACAACTTGAACAGGGAGATGAATTGAAAGCCAGAATATACAATGAATTTTTTTAGCCCCATGAGAATGGCTGGCAGCCAGATATTGAAAGCCACCATCCCTTTATAAAATGATCATTCTTTATTAAATAAAAAGAAGAAAATGCATGGGTGTTGATTTCAAAGCAAAATCCACGCTAATGTTAGTGAGCTCAAAACTTAATCGCCACCCCCATTTCATCTAAAGCTGCTGGCCCACGCTCAGGACAAGGAGTGTGGTTACATGAACAGGCAACTCAGGGAAAGAACGGAACTGAACGAACTGAACATGAGGGAGAAAGGATGACCAAGCAACACAGGCCATGACATAAAGGAACTTTAAAGGAACAATAGCCCCTCGTTAGTATCCTCAATGGGATTAAGATACTAATTTGCAAAACAAGAACACGACAACATTAGGAAAAAAAACAGAAAAAATATATGGCAGGAAAACAAGAGTGATCTCCTGTCAAGAAAAACAGTTTAATGATCAAAAGAATTTCATAGAATGGTTAAAAAGATAAAATCATTTTCACACCTACAAAAATTTAAAAATAAATGAAGAAATATAAGATAGAAGGTAAGTGACAGCTGATGACTTCAGAAGGAAAAGTATCTGACTAAGAGAGATTTCGGGAAGAGAACAGAGAAAGCAAAAGGGAGCATATTAACAAGGGATAGAATAAAGAGGTCTCCGAGCTGTAGAAAAACAAGAGTCACTAAGATAAAAAGACCCACTGAGAACTTCCAACACCGTGATTGTGAAGACATTCCCACGAAGTTTCATCAGAACACCATAAAAGAAGGAACCAATCCAAGAACTTCCAGGGGGGAAAAGCGGGTCACAGAGACGGGAACCAGGTCATATGTGCTGTCTCATCAAGAAAACTGTGTACAACAATATAATGGAGTTCAGCCTGTAATGTACTAAAAGGATTTATATATAACAGAATCCTATGCCCAGGCAGTCAACCTTTACCCTACCCAAAGGCTGATGAGACACGTCTCAGTTCTCTAGATGTAGGGACACAGGGACACCAGGCACCTCGTGGGCTAAGCTTGGGAGCCATCTCAGAAATGGGTCTGAGGGGCAGCCTGCATACACAAACAGCGAGTGTTCCTGGCCCCATGCCCAGGTCGCTCCCAGGACACTGGTAGGGAAACTTACATTCCACAGGCAGAAAACTAGAGGAGTCCTCTTGCAAGGGTCCGATGAGCCTAGAAAAGGAGACAGAACTTAACATCTAGACTGGGCCCCATCTCCCTCGGGTGAGGGCCACTGCTCAGCGATTCCACGGTTTCCTGTGCTCCCTCTTTCTCTGTGAGTGGATGCACAGGATCACCAAACATTGCAGCAGAGCTGGAGCGTGAAAGACAAAGATAGACAACAACAAATAAGCCGAAAGGGATCTAGTATAAATAGACGCGATGAATGCAGTCGGAAAAACTATTTCCAAAAATAGTCTCAGCGACGTAAGAGGAGATGTTATTCATGAAATAAGAACAGCAAGTTATAAAAATAATACTCAGTGAATAAAGAAGGGGCCATAGAAATTGAATTATAATAGCAGGAGTTTAGAAAACATATCAATAGAAGGTATGAACAGTTAGCTTAGAAATTTTCCCAGAATTTAGGAAAAAAAGATCTGAGATAGTCTACATAAAGGGGCAAAAAGTTAGAAGATGGATCTAGTTTCCAATATCCAAATATTAGGAATTCAGAAAGGAGAAATATGATGAAAAATAGTATAAAATTTTGTGAATCTTAATTTCCACCAACTATCAAGTATCCAGTCCATTAAATAAAAATATCTTCACTAAATCATATAATTTTGAAATTATTTGGAAATAGGCACTAGGGAAAAAATAATAGCAATCTCCAGGGAAAAAATAGGCCACATATAAAGGGACAAGAAATATAAACAGCACTTGACAACTCAAAAGCAACCCTGGAAGGTAGAAGACAATGAAGAAATTTCTTCAAAGTTTTGTGGAAAATTATTTTTAACTTAAAATTCTCATTTAGCTACATTATTATTCAAAAGTGACTATAGCATAAAGATAGTTTCAAGTGATACAAATACATTCATAGGAGCTGTGCTTCACAAAACCAAGAAATAAGCCAAAAACTAGGAAGACAGGGTTCAGTGAACAATGTCACAGTGTCAGAAGCACACAGACTGTCCTGAGGAAAGGCCAAGGGGGGCTCAGGAGGACAGTGCACATCAGTCCACGCTGGGACAGGAAGATGTCCAGAGATTAATTGTCGAACAGAGAGATTCCCTGATGTATTGAGAAGAGCGTATAGATATGTGATTAATTAATGAGAAGTTTATAGAAAAACAAACGAAACAAATGTAAAACAAGCAACTCCAAGAGAAGCAGAAATTTAGCAGAAAGTCTGACTCTCTGTGATTGAATGGTAAACAATTTTTATCTGAGCTCTGATCTTCTAGGGCCGAAGTCCCGTGTTGGGAATCCAACAGAATCCTGCGAAAGATGCAGATTCAGATGGAAGGGGAATAGATTCCCAGAAACGCGTAGATGTAGAACATATAGAAAGATGACCCCAGCATTCAGGGGCCAGGAAGGTGCCAAGGGGAGGGGCCGGTTGGTCCTTCGGTAAAAACAGAACGGAGGGCCACTTATGCCAGTGGACTGGTAGAAGCTGCTGAGCATATGTGCCTCTAATTTATGAACTGAGTAACTATAAATGAAGAACATTCCATATCCGTTTGACATGTCTCAAGTACCCCTAATCACCTTTATAAAATAGGAACCCCCATTATTCCCCAGGTTTCTTATTCTGCTTTATTTTGACTCCTCTGCTTACTACCACCTTATACAGGACACACTTCCTTTATTCTCTGGGTTCCTCCACCCCGGTTAGAATGTAAAGGACACTTTGGAGAACAGGCACTAGCTCTCATGAATAGCTGTGAAATAAAGAATACCAAAGTTCACTCTCCATTAGACTAGAATGTGTATTTGAGACACGATGACATAAAATTACATATCTGATTTTCTATGGTGTGCTGCCGCAGTTGCCCTCACTTTGCCCCGCTGGGCCCCCCTCCACCCGGCCCCCGCTGCCTCAGGCCGGCCGCCGCCGCACCGCTGTGCTGTCTGTGGCCGTGCGTCAGGCACACATGTTCTTTGGCTAATCCCGCCACCTTTTTTTGTCCATGCTCCATGCCCCCTTTTTTTGTCCCAAACCATAAGTGGAAATGTCAAATTGCAATTTGGCATAATTTAAACAGCCCCACAGCATGGAAGAAAGCCAGTCCTTCAAAATCTCACTGGGCTCTACTATCATAAGATGTTTGCCTTCCTACCCCAAACAGTTCAGTGTGTACACATGAAAATGCTAAGGCTTTATTCAAAGCTACAGATGTCTATTATGAACGAAAGTCATTTAATAAATGATTGCTAAGGGTAAGAAAATTAATAATAATAATTATTCATATCTTCTATGTCAGATTAGTATGTTAAACATTGTTTATTAAATTTATAAGGGGTTAGCTTTTGCCTTAAAAAAAAAAACTAAATGAATTAACCTTGATAAAAATTATCTTGGGTCGAAGTTGGAGGAAAGATAATGTCCAAGATAGTGCAGATCTGCTTAGCTCACCAATGTGGCACCAGGTCTGCTCACATGTTTCTTGAAGAGGACAAAGCTTCTGAAATAATTTTCACCCCAGACCCTGGAATAAATTAAGAGTAGAAGGGCTGGGTCAGAATGCATGCAAATTGGGGGTGCACATTTGATTATGAACGTGAGATTGGTTGACTTAAGCAATTCTGCTTTAATATTTCCCTAATTAGGTAGGGGACAGCTCTGATTGTGATGAGATTGTCCCACTCTAGCGCAGATTTCCTAGGAGACATATTAATTAAAGCAATTCTCCCTTCTCATGAACTGAAACTTTACAGAGAGGAAGTCTACCTCCCCGACCCGCATCTTGTCACATACACAACTCTGTACCTCCCCCTTGAGAAAAGAGAGTGACAGCAAAAAATAAGCAGCAGAAATAACACTGCAACCCTGGTAAGGTTGTCTGAACATTTTTAGAAAATTCCAAATAGTACAGACACAATAAATCACCAATGGCTCAGAAAGACATGACAGATCTTGCTATAACCACAGGGAGAGAAATACCATCAAACAAAAACTTTCTAAATGTAAATATATAAAACCATACACAAATGCATCAGCTGAAGTACCATATGGCAGCAAGTAGAAGAATTAAAACTAGAGATCTATCATCCCTTACATGTCTACTCAGACCTTCATTCAAGGGAAGGCGCCCTAGTGAATCTTCATGAAGCACAGTAAACAAACACCAAAGAAATACACACGATAATTGGTTGGGAGTGTAATAGATAAGGACAAAGGACACAATGAGTATCCTGTCATCGATTCCTCCATGTCATGGGCCATGTTGTGGGAAAACCATAGAGTCAGAGAAGAGCAGGGAGACCTATTCTCTCTTTCTTTCAATCTTCCCCTTTTCCACCATTACCATAAAAACACAGAAATACACACACACACACACACACACACACACACACACACACACACACACCCCCGCTAAGATGTTGGGATTTGACAAATGGAAAAAGAGCTGCGAAAATAGGAAGAACTCACACTCTCAAATGAGACCAATCTAGGTTGGAATCTTATTTCTGTGACTTCTGATCCATAATTTTTAAAGCAGTTTCCACACTTTTACTATTTAAAATGTAAATAATAATATAAATTTTGCAATGTTTGAGGCAATAAAATAATGTAAATTTCTCTTCTTTAATTTTGTTGTCCTTAAAACAGTGCTTGCAAAATGAGTACTCTCAAAGTATTTTAAGAAAAGGAGGTATAGAGAATAAGCAGAAAAAAAGAAATCAGAAAATTCAATATATACTTATTAAGCAATCTAAAATATGTGTCTTTTTTATTGAGTTAAAAATATTTATTGTTAGCTATATGCCAGAAATCATCTCTATTTTTCAAATTCCTAAACTTATCTAACAAAAATTATCATAACAGATGAAAGATGCTTACAGGATTATTCATAACTTGAATTAGTTTAGTGTATTTATTAACTACATATACTGAATTGCTGTCCATTTAGTTGTATAATTAGAGAGAGAGATAACTTTCTATTTAAGGATCTTGAAGCCATGGTAGCAACAGTTATTAATCTCCAATATGTATCCCCGAGTCCCTAAGAACATATCTGATTATTAAAAATGAACATGTGCATCCCATGATACCATCATAAGGGAGGGCTGAATGGTTAAAGCTCAGATAAGAACCTTAAAAAAAAATCTTTTTGTTGGAAATCGTACACAAAAGAAAAGAAATAAAGTGAGTATTAAGACCTCACCACCTACTTTTCCAGAAATGGGAGTGGTATAAATCTTACTGAAGATCCCTGTCTTAGCACAGACTGTTGCAACAGAACACGAATTGGGTTGTGTAGACGGTAGACAACAAGCATTTAGTTCTCACAGTCGTGGAGGCTGGGAAGTCCAGCACCAGAGCTCAGGAAGGTCTGGGGCCCAGTGAGGGCATCCTTCCTGGTTTGCAGAGAGCTGTCTTCTTATATTTTCCCATGGCAAAGAGAAATAACTCTGGGCTTTTAACCCCCTTATATTGGCCACTCATCTCATTCATGAGGGCTCCACCTTCAAAGCCTAATGACCTCTCAAAGGCCCCACCTCCAAATATCATCACAATGGGAATTTAGTCTTCAACATTGAACTTTGGGGGTACATTGATAACTAATAGAGATTGCTGTGGACTGAATGTTTATGTTCTCCCAATGTTGAATCATTCCAGTTCTAGAACTTACACGGAAAAGAGGTATACTTACAACAAACAGTTTTTGAAGGAAACCCAAGAAAACTCATGTGCTAGATTCCTGGACCTCAACTTAGAGAGCATGGTTCTACTACTCTTCACTATTTTTCTAAAGCAGTTTGTAGAATAAATGCTTTGATGTTCCTAAACCTGCTTTTTTTTTAATAAAGTAAAATTAATGATTCTCATATTTCTGCTGCAAAGTCATGAGCATATACAAAACAATTTTGTAAGGAGGTTTTAGTAGGTCAGAAGGGATGAAGATGGGTGGGTGGATGAGGATGAGGGCACAGCATCGGCGGCTTTTGTTGTCCCATCTGCTCGAGCCTGGAGTACTGAGAGCCAAGCCCACTCCTGAGCTGCAGGCTCCGAGAAAGGGGGCACGAATTGGCACTTTAATGCTCTGTAGTAAAACCAAGGTAAAGATTCAGGGCCATCACACAAACTGACACATGAAAGAACTGCTTTTATCAGGAACATGGTAGGGCTCCCTGACTTACGGATGATGGGAATCTGAGAGGGTCGG